ATCAGCAATGGCCCCTTGCTCACCAGATAGCACACGTCTCAGCACTTCTGCATTGTACTCTGGTTCTCCACCTCGCAAGGCATCCAAAGTGCAACGCGGAATCCCAAAGTCCACTATCAAAATAATGCGTGAGCTATATGTCACTAAATTTACAACAATATTATGCTAAAAGACGACGTGATAAGAACATTGGAAATGAGGAATCAGAAGTGATAACTTTGCACCTATTGCTGTATAATAATATGAAAAAAAAGGAGATTGAATCCGCAGGATCGAGATAAAATGGAAAGTACTTACAAGGATCAAACGAGAACTTTTCAATCTTATCTGCTTTGACATCAAGAACTACCCCAGGCCCTGTTCATAATTTAGTGGGGGGCATGGTTTTTGTCAAATGTACCTAAAATAGATTAAACCGTAATAATAGCCAGAAGAGAGACATTGACAAGATAAAGTTGGACTTTTACCTAAGGGACTCATCTCATCCAGGCCCTCAGAGTGAACAACCAGTGCTCTTTTCACGCCAAATCTCTGAAGTGCGTTTGCCATTTTGTGGACCTGAAAGACCACCAAATGATAAATAATTAATCAAAAAGCTGGACAAGCTATGATAGGTATCATGCAAGTGTGCAAAGACAAGGTTGGACATTGGAGTTGGTGATTTAAGCATTCCTCCTGATGTAGGAAGCTGCTAAAGTTCAGTTTTAAAAAAAAATACAAAAAGTGAGATCCTAAACCACAATGGCTGCAGAGTGAAGTACATACCAAATCTTCTGTATATACACCCACGACAGCATAAGGTACTCTTGCTGGATTCAGCATGGGCCCCAGGATGTTAAAAACAGTCTTAACTTTTAGCTTCTTTCTAATCGGCCTAACAATCTTCATGGCTGGATGGTAGATTGGAGACATCATGAAACCAATTCCTGCTTCATTTACACACCTTTTCACACCCTAATTCAATATTCAGCCAAAGTAAATATTTGAAAGACACGACCCACCCAAAAAAAACACTCCGTGCGGTAATGGCATTCATGTGTTTTGGGAAGTGATATTCATCAAAACAAATGGATGAACATGATAAGTCAGGCAGTCATTTGAACATCTTTGATGCCACAACAGTTTATTTGAATGTAAACTTTTCCCCAAGAGTATAACTTTGGTTGCAATCCAAATATAGAATATTAGGACCAGAGTTCACAGAGTATGACAGATTCTGCTCATTCGATACACGCAGTCAGAAAATTACACGTAAGCAAATAAATGGACTTGCAAGAGAAACGGCACAACAAAACAAGTGATGTATTCAGCACAAGAAGTGATAAACTTGAGAGTTTGAAAATGAACAATTTGCATGTAGCCCTGTTTAGTTGAGGCCATAGCAGCCAAGGAACAACAAAATATAACATTCACCTATTCTGGACAAATTATGCCAATGGATACCAGATAGCAAGACACTCTTCTAGCACAACTGAGGAAACCATTCTCAAGTAACTGATGAGTAATCTGCAGGCTAGCTTCCCACCAATTAAATGCTAAAGTTAAGTCAATGCAAGTAAAATATTCCACCTTTATATACTACAGAGGCAATTAACAAACTAATCTTTAACGAATTAGTTGAAATGCACATTACTTCAGGGTCCAATTCAATTGCAATTCCCAATTCTTCAAGGACATCAGCACTTCCACAAGCTGAAGAGCTTGACCTATTCCCTTGCTGCAATACAATTCTCAATGATCAATGCCACTTTTTCCAACTATCCAAAATAATAAAAAGGATATAAGAAAAGGCCTACTTTTGCAACTTTCACGCCACAAGCAGCAGCAAGAATAGAAGCACCAGTTGAGATATTCACTGTATTGGCACCATCACCACCAGTCCCAACAATATCTACGGCATCATCTAATCCTTCTACTTTCCGACAATGCTTTATCATTGCCCTTGCTAATCCTACCACCTACTCATCAATAACCATGATTACTATCAAATTTCAACATAGTTCAGAGGATTAAATTAAATTAAAAAAATAAAAGAAAATTGCAAGAACACTTACTTCTTCATAAGTTTCTCCTTTGGCCCTCAACAAAACAAGAAAAGCACTGAGCAATGCCTCGTCAGCACCATCCAACAAGAAGTCAAGGGATTCCTCAGCTTCAGATTCTGATAAGTCCACCCCACTTATCAAAGTCTCAATCAACTAATCACAAAATCCCATTCAGAACCAGAATCAGAATCATAGGCCAAAAGGGTTGTTCAAAGTAGGTCAAACGAAACACCAAAACAAACAGAAATTCAAACCTTTTGTTTTACCTGACTAAAAGAAGTAATGGATGATGAGAGCTGATTAGAACCAGTGACGGCCGAGAGAGCATTTGCGGACCTTCTTTTGATTGTTTCCCCAAAAGGGCTATTGAAAAAGATTGAATTTTTGAGCTCATACTTTATTGGAGCATTTTTCTGGGCTGAAACGGAAGACTGAAGTGAAGCTACAGAAAGATGACAATGCTGAAACAGGGCCATTACTGATAATCTATTCTATCCCCTCCCCGCCCTTCTGACAAAATAAATAAGGTACAAGTGGAAGAATGTGGTGCTTGTGGAGCTGTACCAGAAGGGGACCAATTTTAATGATGCTGAGTAAATTGGGGCTGCTATGATATCAAAATCATGGGCAAGTGGAGGCAGAATGGAATTCTTGCATATAAAGGAATCTTGTAGGGTCTTTAATTAGGGTTCTTAAATGGAGGGGGAGAGGAATAATGGTTGCCGGTGGTGAAGAAGAAGATGTTGACAGGAAATTTTCCGTTGGCTCTGTCTGGGAGATTTTGCAGCGTATCGTGTTTGCTTTGACTTCTACAGTTTGGTAGGGGTTTATTGCTATATTTATTTACTAGTAAAAATGAACATAAATTAGGTGAATTTTTCTTCAAATTATGATTAAAAAAATTTTGCTAAGTGAATATTGTAAATATATTTGAAAATTACGGAACTAAATTTACGAGTTCACTTAATCATGTTATCTTAAAGTTTGTTTCCTAATTAATGCATGATATATATATATATATATACACACACACATTAACTAAGATCTTACTTTAACTTTTTTTAAAAAAATTAAAATTTGAGAAATACAATGAATTAATTCCTAGTTTGTACAAAATAATAGCGACATATAACATAATTCTGTAGATTTGTACATATAAAAATAATAAGATGATAAAATTTTAATAAATTTAATATCCACATAAGGATAAGAGTTAAAAATTGACATAAATGTAATATATTATTTAAAAATAATAGTAGTAATTTTAATCATATATTTAGTTCTGTACCTTTCAAATATATAAACATTTAATGTAATTTTACACATATTCTTTTTCCCGAACTTTTAGTTATTCTTTTAAAAAAAATTCATATGCAAATATGTATAATATTTCATATTATATCCATTCCACATTTTACTAAAATACATCAGTTTTGTTTGGATTCTCCAAAAAACCAATTTTTGAAATACAATGCTGTAATAATGTACCAAACAAAACAACTCATACATACAAAAAAAAAAAATTCATATTTTGCTTTTCCGCCACCGCTCCTTTCCTCCCGCCTCCTTCTCCTTTCTTCTCTTTTTCTCTTTACTGCCTCTTTCTCCCACTCTCTTCTCCTCCACCTTCCTCCTTCTCTCCTCCCCTTCCCTTCCTCCTCCTGCCACCCTAGACCCCCCCCCCCCCCCCGCAGCCGCGACTGATTGTAACCTTCCATTCACAACTAGGGTAGTGGCATTTCAATTTGAGAGGAGAGGGATTGGCGCTAGGTGGCGTTAGTAGTTGGTTCAATTTTTAAAAAATAAATTTTAAAAGTATTTTAAAAAATATTTCAAAAAACATCACCAAAAATATTTATTATAAAATTTTTTTATAATAATATCACAGTAAAATTTTTTAAAACACGTCAAAAAACAACTAATTGATACGGAGAGCCGTACATCAAAAAAATCAAATTGTACATTGCCCAACTCAATTAAATCATAAATGAAGACCGAGGGGCAAGACGTATGCATGACTCACATGGTTTTGTTTATTCATTTCTTAAAAAAAAAACAAAAGAAAAGAAAAACGGCAGGGTTGTGAAGTCAGTCACCAGATGTCGGCTTTGCGTACACGTGTGTTGGTAATGATTACCTAAATCAAACACGTGCAAGACCCTGCCTCCTCCTTTGGCTCTCTTGCATTCTTTTCTTCCAACCCCTTTTTTGGGTAAAATTAATGAATAAATAAAAATTATTAAATTCAAATTTTAATAAGTGTCATTTATCTAAAATTAATATCATGTACAACTCAAATTTTATTTCTACAGTTAATTTTGTATAAAATGCCAAATTTGTCCTACTCAAATGCAAAATAATTTGGACCTAGAAAAGAATAATTTTGGCATTTTAAGAAAAGTTTTGTGAAAATAAATTGTGGTCTATAGCACTATCATTTGGCAGAAATATCAAACTGTAGTTGCTACCTTTTTACTACATGTTTTTCAAATATTTATATAAAATTTCAACTTTTATGAGATTCCATGTAATTGAAAAAATTTCCTCTGCCCATCTTAGCATCAACCGTCTTTCGCCTTCCTTTTGGCATGCTTTCGTTTCCAAATTCTGAATTATACACAATATATTGTAACTTTTTTTAATATCTGTTAAATTAGATATCTATTATTTTTAATGCATATTTATTTTGCCATTGGTGCGGGTTTCTGTGATATAAATCAAATCATATCGGATAATTTTCGATAATTTTATTAATGAAATTTGCTTCTTATCCAAAAAAAAATTTTCCAACATAATGTTGTTCAATCAACACTTTAATCCCATATACTTTAGTTACTCTATTGTTTATTTTTATGCATTAGATTATTTTTTTCCCATTTACATAGCAGCTGGAAAAAATATGTTGCAACAACGATAGAAATGATATTCCATGCCAATTTGAAGGAATGTCATATATTGTACTAACTCTTTTAATTCTCGGTTTCTTGGTTGAAGGTTTTCAAATTTAATAATTGAATCATAATTTTGATAGTTGAATAATTGTCACCTAAATATTTTGCCCCTTTTGAATGGTACACAACACAAGGCGAAATGTTACTTGTTTTTGGGGTGTGAATGAAAGTTTTAAAATTATAAAGGTACAAAATTTAAAAACCAAAAAATATCTAGGCAACTTCTCGATAGCCACTAGGTCCACCACAATGTCTGCCCACACTCTTAATTCTTAACTAGTACTCAAGCCAACATATATACCACTGCAAGTGCAATTAAAGAAGAAAATATTAGTAACATTTTTTGAGTATATAAGTTAAAGATTATTTTCATGAAAATCATTTTTATATTATTTTGATAATACATATGTAGAAAATTCACCAAACTAAGATGTACAAATTGATTATTATTTGGTAATAATCTATAACTATAATTGACAGTTGCCAATAAAAATTAAGATTTATTAACTAAGTTGAATTATAAAATAATAAGAAATAGATTTTAACGGGTAGAAGGACATATATATTGACAGTGAGTAGTGTTATTAAGGGTAGTTTAGAAATAACATAAAGCAATAGAATTTTTTTGAAATATATATGATATAAATAGTTATGATAGAATTTGCATCAAAAGCTTCCTCCCTTTAATATACAGTATAGATAGTACTATATAGACAGTTTCTTTTACAGGTTTTTTTGTTTTGCATCTTGTTCAGTGAATGCTACCCATTGTTGAACTTTTGTATTAGAGTTTAGGCATGAAATATGCACAGATAAAAGTATCAAATTGCAAGTTGCTAATTAAGAAAGAACTAGACAATATTACATTTCAAGCTTCACAAAAAGGTGTTGATTCCTAGAGATGCATAAACCTATCCTTTCTTTGGTTTTCATTTCTCAATAGTCAAAATGCAAGTTCTCTTTTACAGGAGATTAAGATCTCAAGATATGCATAAATTTTCCCCTTTTTCATTTGATTCACAAAAACCTCTCCCTTGTTGATCAATAATACACTGAGCTGTAAAAATGGGGATGCTAGCATATCACAAGTAAAAACAAAATTTCCTTTTTTTTTTTTGGGTTGCTATTATACTAGATGGCATAATTATACTCAGCATTTCTTGCCCAAAAAGATTTTTTATCTCTCTTACTGAAGGCTGGGGAGATTTCTCCAAATAATCTCAGTCATCAAGAGGCCTGCAAAAATATTTGGGGTGTTAATTGGGTGGAATGTCAAATACTTTTAATAACCAATGACAAGAATAATAGTAGAATCAATTAGAATCCCTTAAATTATTGATACAAGTACAATTTGCATCTTAATCCCTTCAAGTCTCATTTCATGTTTTTTCTCTTCTTGTCTCCTTGTTAATTTCAGTTTTCTTTTTGGCATGATGACACTGAGAATTTATAAGAATAACTAGCAAATACAAACAAACCAACATAATTTCTGGGACTTTTTCTCATAGAATTCTAGAAGTATCTTATATATGGTTCTTCAAACGTTTGAGTTCCAAAATTATGTCACCCAATATGATAAAGAAAAGTGGCTAGTTTAATTTCGAGACAGTTAAGGTAATTTTCAACTTTAACCACTAGATTAAAACCTCTACTAAACTAAAGCTCTTTGATCTTGGTCTAGTGACTAAGGTTAATCTCCCTTCTCCCTTCGCACTTCTTAAATTCCACACCTATCCTACTAGACAAAAGATAAATAAATAAAAAGCCAAAAAAAGGAAAACTAAAGCCAATTGAATGCCGTTTCTAGATTATTTAGCTCCAATATCTAAAACATTTATATTTGGTGCTGACCTCTCATATTTCTTAGAAAGGGGAAATTCTATTTGTAGGAGTTCTAATTCGATGTATTGTATAGCAAATAGACCTCATGAGGAGTTATGCACTACTTTCTGACAATTACTTGTGGAGACCACAAAAAGTCCAGTTTAACCCAAAGATGGAATTTCCACTTAAAAACTCCTTCCTTCCTTCCTGCCAATTAGATCTTTGTCTTAAATCTGAAATGAAAACTGAAATTGGTAGTCACCTAATGGAAATTTAGACCATACCTGCTATTGCATCCATGAAAGTCCATCTTATTCTGTTGGATGTTGAGTGGACTGCATTGCACAAGAATTCAATTGCTAAGAACAATGACCTTTAACCAAAACATCACCAGAAATTGAATAACCAACAAGTGTAATCATGATGCAGGCTACATCAAAGAAACCCTTACTAGTCTTTGATGTTGGAAATCAAACCAAGTTGAAAAAAGTTTCCATTTAGACCATAAAAATCATACCTGAATCACAATTTGAGGTGGAATTCCAGCTTCCGCACATGCACAAATCACTATTGCCATCAATATCAAATCCACAAGTCCCACCTGTGGCCTCACATGCTTTGCAGAAGGCTTCATTCCCTTGTATAGAATACTTCACCCTGATCCCATAAGACCAACCATCAGGCCCTGAAAGTCTCAGGGGTGCTAGACTATAAGCACTGCTATACCCCTGGCAACCAAGTTTTGTAAGATTCACAGCTTTAATAGCCTCAAATGACACTGCACAACACTCGGGAGGACCCGATCCATACACCGGGCCAACCCGTTTAGGCCCGATTATGTCCCAGGCAGGACAGTTATAGTACTCCTCACATCCCATCCCTGAAACATTTCCACAAGGCAAGTGCTTCCCTGGAAAACCTTCAAACAATGGTGACTCAGCTGAGCATTCTATCAGCATGAACACATTATCTGTAGTAGGATTTAAGAAGGGGGATCGCCACTGCTCGACTACAAAGCCGTTGCCTCGGCCTCCTAGCACGATTGAGTCACAGGTTGACATGTGAGGATCGTGTAATGTGAGAGATTGGTAAGCATAATCGATGTCTAAAACGCGATATGATCCTGAGCTGATGTGAAACATAAGTACATCATTGATGCAGAATAAGAGGTCCCGGAAGCCTGGATGGCCACAACCTGATTGAGTTGCAAAAGGGTAGTCAACTGTTAGGTTCCCACAATAAGATCTACATGTTTGAGCATTGCCATGGCTGAGAACTACTGGGATTATTGCCTGAAATAGAACTAACAGAATGAACATGAGGAGGCAAGCCATGGATGAAACTCTTGATATTGACAGAGATGAGAGTTGTTGATTCCTGACGGGAATAAAGGAAGACTGTATCGGAGAAGATACTGTTATTTTAATCTGCTTAGTGAAAGGAAAAAGGATATTAGAGGAAGCAATGATTCTTTGCTTAAGCTGAAGAGTTTAGAACCTTATTCATATTCACATGTTGGGGGTGAAGAATTTGATTGATTTGTATACAGGTTTTAACTTTTAAGTTGCTTTATGAGGAGAAGATTGTGGTTTCTTTCAGAAGATTTGTCTGACTTTTGAGCTTGTATAGTTGTATGCTCGCTTTAATATGCTTTTTGATAATAAAAATTTTGAAGGATATGATGCTGCTGGTTGCTTTATGGTAAAAAAATATATATTGACATGCTATTGACATTATTATTGTTGTTACTCCAGGTTGCAGGTGGTCCAACAACACTTATCGATTTCATTGAAGATGAAATTCCACAATTACTACTTAGTAGTATTCTACAGCAGAGAGACTAACATGTGTGTGCACCAGGAAGCTCAGAATCTGAGAGGGAGAAAAAAGGAATTACATCCAAGAAAGAAAATTGAAGCAGGTTCTATCACTAAAATAAGAGTAAAAAATTTGGGGAGCCCATAAATTATCATCATTGTCCATTTTTTACCCTGATCTATTTTTTTGTCTCCGACTGGCCCTGAACAATTAAAAGTGTATACTTTAAGGACATTTGGTCATTTTAAACATAAATTCTACTAGAATCCAAGGGCATTTTTGTCCGATCATAATCAAAATCATTGAGAATTTAATAAAAAGTATCGAGAGTAGGAGTAGAAACCCTGAAAAGAAAAAATCCTTCATTTTCCTTGGATCTTCATCAATTTTCTCTACAAAATTTCTAAATTCACTGATTTCATACCCTAGTGGCCAAAGTTTCATCAAACTTTTCATGTCCCTCTCAAGTATGAAATCAATGAATTTGGAAATTTTATGGAGAAATTTGACAAAGAGTTTAAGGAAAATGAAGGGTTTTCTTTTTTTTTTTTGGAATTTCTACTCCTGCGCTCGATGCTTTGATTAATGTTGGACAAAAATGCCCTTCGATTCCATCTGGATTTATGTCTAAAATGGCCAGAAATCCTTAAACTATACACTTTTAATTGTTCAAGGGCTAATTAGAGACAAAAAATAGATTAGGGGCCAAAAGTAGATAATGATGATAATTTAGGGGCTTCTCGGGTTTTTTACTCCTAAAATAACTATCACCATTCACCAGTGTCTATATGATTGCAGGAAGAGTCTGAACTCCAGCACATGAACAATTTAAGAGGGAGGATAGTTTTGCTCACAAACTTCTAAGACCAGTGCACTTTGCTAATCTAGTAACTTACTTTATTTCATCCTAGAAGAAAGAAGTATAAATGTTAAAGCTCTGGTAATGTTGCACCTATGTTTTTTTTTGGTTGATTAGATCTTAGCATCTCTTGGAGTTAATAATTTTTTATTACACAAATACTTCGCAATTTTAACAACTACTTTGCTAAGCAATTTGACCATGTAAATGAAATCCTAAATGATGTCTACATAACTAAGGACGGAAAAAAAATTTTATTAAGAAAAGGATTGTGAGTTTTGCTTTAATTGAATAATGATAGGGCTGAAACCTGAAAGATGAATCAAGTTATTTAATATTAGAATTGTTAAGAATTATCAAATTAAATATTTTTTAAAAATCAAGTTAAACACTGACAAACTTTAACACTAATAATTACTTTTAAATTTAGACTCAACTCTTTGATTTGACTCGACAAAAATTGAGCAAGTTTGGTACAAAAGATAAAATAAGTCAAACTTAAATGTAATTTTAAGTTGTTAAAATAATAAAATAATTTTGTATACACTGATGGAGTTAGATGAATATATATCATATTATCTGAATTTAAATTTTAAATATTAAAATTTATATACATGATATGCACCTATTTTCGTTTATATATATAGTGTTAGTATATAAAAGATTTATTTGATAATTTTGTCGTAAAAAATACTAAATAAAACAATATTAATGTTAATCATCAAATATTCGGTTCCATCAGGGTCCTTTTTGGGCGTTTATTAATTATTACCCGGTAGCTAACCGATGGATCTAATAATTACCCGATTTAGCTCGGGTGGAGCCTGGTTCCAACCGACCCGTTACCGTTTTCCACACACTCGACACTACTACTGCCTACCGTCTAGAGGCGGAGCCACTTGCCCCTACTCCTTCAAACCGGCGACGCTTGGAAATTCAGACGTTAGTCCACGGGCCGTCGCCTCAATCGGTCGCTGAAGAACCTGCACAGCTCTCCCCACCTCCCAACAAATTGATTGAGATATTAGGGTTTCATCATTATGGACACCCCTGAAAAACCACCACAGGAAACTGCTTCAAAAGTAAGCATTTGCCACTCAATTTTTTATTTTTCCATTCCATTTGCTGGGTATTTGTGTAGTTTTTTTTTCGTCATGTCCATTTACCGTTGAATTTTTGTGGAACTTTTTCCTTCATTCCCAACGCGTATACGCTATAGTGAATAGAAGAAGTTGGGATTTTGTGCGGAAATGATTAGGTTTGGATGCAATTAATCGTAAAGGAATTGTTATTTCGACTGTGGTTCAATTTTAGTAATATTTTTGCTAGTTGGTAATTACTGTATATTCTTTTGCGGATGGAGTAGTTAAGGAGAGAGTTTGATTCTCGTGCATCTCATTTTGATTTTCTTAGTGTCTGAGAAAGGGAAAAGAAAAGGAAAAAGAACGAAAAACCCTGTCACAAGCATATTGAGAATCCTCTTTATATTTAAAATATGATCCAACGAGTATAAAACCAATGTATGTAATTTTAGAATTGAAAAAGTAGTATTGGACTGAGAATTATTGCCATGATTAGTGGATTAGTATTAAGCATTGGCAAAGTGATGAAACAAATTCTAATTTCCCAAGTTTTGGACTTGATGAAGTAGCAGCTACCCCGTGTGTATGTGTGTGTGTGTTTTTTTTGGGGTGGTTTTGGAGGGAGGGGGAGAGGGCCTAATATTCGTTTTATAGTGCAATTCGTTGTTGTACCAGTAGAAAAACCTGTTTAAGACTAGTCATAACATGATTTTGCTGTAGTTTTGTACTAACTGTATTGATACTGTGAAATATACAATGATTGTAGTGTCGAATGACACTGCAGGTTGATGATGACAAGGGAGACAAAATTGTGTATTAGTAGAATAACTCTTTTCTTTTCTTTTCTTTTTGCCCCTCTTGAAAGGAAACTAGAAAGATGGCTGGAACAGTCAACTGGGGTACGGCAACTGTCATTGGAATATTTGCTGGCATGTTATATGGGGGTAGCAAGGAGGCATCTGCTTCTTCTGTAAGTATGCTTCAGGATATATGTTTATTATTTCATCTTGTTGCATGAGAATATTTAAGCTTCACACCATTTGCTGAAGGTATATATCCTGTCTGGCCTGCTGTCTGATTCAGTTCTGGATAGAGAACAGGCATTTATTTTGGTTGTTAAGGGTCAGTTTTTGATTTTCCTAGAAATGGATAGCTTTATGATCTCTTGAATTTCGTGAGCTTTTATCTCATTGTAGGATCGCATTTATGCCTTGTGCCATTCTTGTCGAGTCAAAAACATGTTTAGTGTCTTTGACAATGAGAAAAGAAAATTTTTTTTTGGAGAAATTTTTGTACAACCATATTTTCACATTCAGGACTGCCAGATGATGAAGTTAAAGTCTTGGAATTTCATAGAAGGGAGTGACTTTTACCAAGATAGTATAATCCAGCTATTTTAGCAAACAAATATATTGTATTCTGTCAACTATAATCTGAAATAGAATATGATTTTTTTTTCTTTTCTGTTTTACTTCATCAGAGTAATTTGCAGATGAGCAATGTTGGTCAGCTTTTGAAAATTAGTGCAATTTTATATCTTGCATTATCATAGCTTAGTTTATATCTCCATAACAAATCTGATGGTGTATAGCCATTTAATTATTTTTCTGGTAATTTTTGAACAAGTATTGCTCATTAGATACTTCTATAAGATGTGATTTAGTTGGACTTTTCATACTTTCTGTTATAAACTTTAAATTTTAAGACATTTTTGTGTTGTTGTACCCAGAGTAAAGATGCTGAAGTAATGTTGAAGATGGGAAGCACACCAGATAAACGTGAACAGTATCGACTGATGCGAGATGCTATGGAGAAAAGATTTATCCGAGTTACTCGGGGCTCTATAGTTGGTGGAGTTCGTCTTGGGATGTTTACTGCTGCTTTTTACAGCTTACAAAATCTACTTACTGAAAAACGAGGGGTGCATGATGTTTATAACGTTGTGGGAGCTGGTTCTGCTACTGCTGCAACCTTTGGTCTAATTAGTAAGAACCCCTTTATCTCTCTGTGTTTATGTCTTTCTTTTTCTTGATAGTCAGTTTAGGGGTGCATAACACGAAGGCTGGTTTTATCCATTTACACCTTATAGCAACAGAAATTATTATTTGTCTACTAAAATTCATGCATTCCTTCTGTTTGTAGTGCCAGGATCACTCCTTTGGCGTGTAAGGAACGTGATGCTGGGATCAGCTTTGGGTGCAGCAGTTTGTTTCCCTCTTGGTAATATAATTAACCTTGACTGTTTCACCATCAAATCTGCTTTCTAGTTTATGAAGGGTGTCATAAATCTTTCTTCCTCTCATTCTTCATTTTGTGAGCTGTGGAAAATTCAGTATCATCATACCTGTTGCCGTAAATTGATTGACAAAAAGTTTCTCCTTCAATTTCTCATTTTGTTTTTTAGCTATGGTTTTTGTTTCTGATGTTTCTTCAGTCTGTCAATTTGGGTTATTAATTTTCCGCTACAAATGAAGGATCAGGAATAATTGGCAAGCCTCCTCTTGACCCTTCTCCCCCAATCCAACCCCTACCTCTGCATGCATGAACAGAATTGAAGTCAAAGGAGGCAAAGTATATTGAGGCCTAAGAACTTGATCCCTGAATAAGATTTAAGTTTGTCACTCATGGACATTTGTCTCCCATAACTAGTGATTAAGAACCTTCAAACGTATTTTACAGGAATCTTCTTGTGATCATGAAACTTTAGCTACCAAATTAGCTTGATTCTCATTCAAACTTATAGCTACCAAATTATGCTCTTCAATGCTATTGCACGCATGTCATGCACAAATGTTTGAGCGAGCTAAGTTTAGTTGTGT